CATGGCAGCAGCAAAAATAGACACAATAAAAAGAGATAATCAGGGAAATTGCATTATATTCAAATGCACCATAGATAAAAATTATTACCAGTCCTTAATACATATGCACCAAATGGCATGGCACCTGCATACTTAGAAGAAAAGGTCATTGAATTATAAAGAAAAGTAGACAGTAAAACTATAACAGAGGAAGACCTCAATATATCTCTTTCATACCTAGACAAATTTAACCAAAGATAAACAGTAAAGAAGTTAAGAACTGGAATAGAACTTTGGAAAAAGTAGACAGGATAGATCTCTGGTAATTACTTAATGAAAACTGAAAAAAAAAGTTTACGTATTTTCCAGCTGTACATGGCACCTTTGCAAAAATTGACCTTGTTTTGGGGGTATAAAAGCCTCATGAATTAATAAATAAAAGCAGAAAAATTAAACATGTCCTTTGTTGGCAACAATGAAATTAAAATTTTAGTCAATAAAGGGCCTTTGGAGAAAGTATTAAAATTAATTACAGATTAATGTAATCCTAAAGAATTGATGGCTCAGAGAACAAATCACAGAAACAATAGAAAATTTCATCAAAGGAAATGACAACAATAGGACAACATACCAAAACTTGGGGAATACAGGTAAAGTAGTACTTTAAAATTTTATTTTTTTAAACACCTTCAACAACAAAAGAGAAATAGATCAATGAATTGGACATGACCATTTAAAAATTAAAAAAGCAATACATCCAAAAATGCCAAAGTATTTTTAAAAATCAAAGGAAAAATTAATAAAATGAAAAACAACCCCCCAACTAAATTAATAAATAAAAACTAGGAGCTGTACTTTTTTGGGGGGGGAGGTGGGGAAGCACTTCTCTGGCATAGCCTTCTAGAACTCATGGTCACTTCTACTCCACAATAAGGAATCAGAATAAGACATATATACATATGGTTCACATATATTTTAAAGAAACTTCACAGTCCTTGGATAGTTTTAAAACTTGAATTTAGGTTGTAAACATGACCAAAATTTATAGATAGATAAATGTATTTGTATATTACATGTATGTGTCTATATGTGTGTATGTATGTATGTATATGTGTATGTATAAACTGAGCAGTGCAGTTTCTTTTGGGTGAATAAAGATTTCAGTTCTGCTAGTCCTAGGACAGTATTTCAAAAAAGAATACATATTGTACAATTATGCAATAAAATGTTACTAGATTTGTTTTTAAATGCCACTTAAAGATGGTCTTTGTCATACCTACATCCTGTTATTTTTTAAATTGCACAAAGACTTTACGAGAACTCTGCATCTATTATTTTAGAGATATAGATGCATTATCTATTTATCTGTCTATGTATCTATCTATCTATAGGTTCTATATCTATGAGTTCATTGGCATAAGGAACTCTCAGGCCAGGGAACTCCCTACTCCCAATACAGTTTGGCACTTATGTCACACGTAGTCTTAGAGAGTTGTCTATGGCTCTGAGAGTTTAAGTGATTTGTTCACGAAGTTATTATATATTAGAGGAAGAACCTGATCCCAGATCTTTCTGGCTTTAAAGCCAGCTAGCTTTCCATTAATTATGCCATGCTGCCTCTATAAACACATATAAATATGACATATCTAAACGTGAATTTCTTTCTTTTTTTTTTTTTGCTTTTTGGTGAGGAAATTGGGGTTAAGTGACTTGCCCAGGGTCACACAGCTAGTAAGTGTCACGTGTCTGAGGCCAAATTTGAACTCAGGTCCTCCTGACTCAAGGGCTGGTGCTCTATCCACTGCACCACCTACCTGCCCCCATGAATTTATTTCTAAATATTGCTAAAAATTGGAAAAAGAGATACAGCTTAAAAACAAGGAGGAATCTGTTCACATGAAAGGTGGACATTGAAAGTGACTATGCCAAGAGACAAGAGGCTTATGCCATACCTCACGAATTGAATTTAGAGAAGAATTTCCTAACTCTATGGATTGTAGAATTCTTTGTTCCATTACCAAGGGGTACTGTGCGGCCATCCTTCTTTGGAAATATTAAAGGACAGGATAAATAATGATCTTCCTAAGGTGATCTGAGTGCATTTCTCCTTGAATACAAAGAATGTGACTCCTTAAATCTCTCCCAGTTTTAAAATTTAATAATTCTTGAGGCCATGTTTAGTGTTGGTCAATAAGGTAGAGAAATCATTTGGAAGGGAAAATCCACATATTGCTTTTGCTGTCCAGATCAAATATCACATTAGAACTGTGACTTTTCTTATTATGGGGGACAGGAGCAGAAACCACCTTAGAGCTTTTAAAACATTAAATATATGTGGGAGACTGACAATTTCAGGAGAAAAGAAGGGGCTTTAGAAGTATGTTTGTAGGAGACTTTAAAGTGCGTCATTGTTTGATTAGAGATGTTATATATTTCAAAATTGCAGCACGACTGAATATTTATTACAAAGGTTTTTTCCTCTTGGGGGGTGGTGGGAGGGAAAGAAATTACATACTTGTTAATTTTAAAAATAAAAAATAAAGCACATCAGAGGGGAAAGTACTTAGATATTGCTTTGTCTGCCTTCTTTTTCCCTTATTCTTGTCACCAAAATTCATACAAATGGCCACTCCTTTCCAACCCCTGGTTTCCATCAGTCAAGCAAATATACTGAACTTGTGAACCTCCCATCCTTTCATCCCTTTCATGACAATGAACTGAGTAGAAGGCTGTATATAACTTCCCTGAGAGGCCAGACAGCAGCTGAAATGGAATATCCAAGGTGCAGATGACAACATGTCATCAGGTACTCTGATGCTTTCCAAGGAGGCTGAAACCTGTTAGAGGGAACAAAAAAGGAGGAAGAGAAGGGGCAGGAAAAAAATCTGACTGCAAAATGTGGTTCCTTCAGTCATGTTCTACAAGTAAAGCCCATTTTCTTTTTTTAAAATAAATTTTATTGATATTGTTTGTTTTTTTGCATCACCAAGATTTCCCACTGTATCCCTACCCTTTCCCCTCTTTGAAAGTCATTCCATATAACAAAGAATTAAAAAGAAAAAATAAAAATAGGAAGAAGAGAAAAAAATTAGCAAAAGTGGTCAATACATAGGAAAAAAGTCTGTGATTGTATTCAGTGTTGCACATCTTTGGATTCCCTGCCTTTGCAAAGGAGTGGGAAGAAATGTCTTCCCATAGCTCTTCTTTGGGATCAAGTTTGCTATGTGTTATTTTGCGACATTTTTTGTTTGTTTATTTTGTGATTGTTGTTCTTTCCATTTATGTTGTTGTAATCATTGTGTATATTTAGGGGGCATGCTTACTTAACTTTGCAATAGTTCATGTAAGTCTTTCCATGTTTCTTCATATTTATGTATTTGTCATTTGTTATAGCACAATGATATCCCATTACATTCGTGTTCCGCAATTTGTTTAGCCATTCTCTTATGGATAGGTGTCTATTTTGTTTCAGGTTCTTTGCTAGTGCACATGCACACACACACAGAGAGCTATAAATATTTTGGCATAAATGGAGCCTTCCTTTTTGCTAATGACTTCCTTCATTATGGACATTTTAACCACTTTATTTGTATATTCCAAATTGTTTTCCAGAACATTTGTATTAATTCATAGCTCCACCAACAATTCATTAGTATCTGTCTTTCCACAATGCCTCCAACATTGTCTATTAGCATACTTTGTCATGTTTACCAATTTCCTAGGTGTGAGGTGAAACCTCATTTCTATTATTAGTGATTCAGAACATTCTTTCATCATTCTTTCATATAGTTGTTAATAGTTTACGATTCTTTTGAGAGCTGTATGTTCATATCCTTTGAACATTTATCTGTAGAGGTGGGGTAGGGAGAGGGGGAATGAGCATTTATGTAGCATTTACTATGTGCCAGGCACTGTGCTAAGTACTTTTGACAAATATTATCTCATTTCATCTTCACAGCAACCCTGGGAAGCAGATGCTATTATCCCTATTTTACAGTTGAGAAAACTGAGGCAAATTGACTGTGAAGTGTTCTCACAACCAAATTCATAGCCACTAGCAGCTTGAATCTATTCTACAAAAGGGCAATAATAGAGCTAGAGTTGTCTTCTATGGATGACACTAGTATAACTTTCTTCTTCCTTCCATTTGCCCTTCTCCTCCCATTTGCCCTGGAATTCATCCAGGGGCCCCACCAGCACCAATCACGCTGTACAATACCTGTCCTCATTCCAAGTCACCTGGAAGTATTACTGAATTGTCACCTTAGCATGCAAAATCAAGTACTTGGGAATAGAAGAAAACTTCCCTGTACTGGCAAAGGGAAGGGAAGAGAACACTTTGAACCTCGCTGAGTCCCCACGGAATTTGTCTTCGAAAACTCCCAGAAAGAGGCTCCCAAGCTTGCTAAGGTAAGGGATCTTCAAAAGATCACCTGAATTTCCTCCCTTTTCCCCCATCCCTTATGGCCCACAGGGAGTTCTCTTCGAGGGAGAAGAAGCTGGACATCTAAGGACAGGGAGTCAGAGTAGAGACAAGAGGGAAATGGGCAAAATGAGCGTGGTAAACTGATCTGGAGATTGGGTTGTGGGGTGAAGAGATGGAGCATTCGAGGACGGCTCGATACCATGGACAGTTCCAACCGGCTGAGCTCTTCCTCTCACTTTGCCGTGTGTGTGTGTGTGTGTGTGTGTGTGTGTGTGTGTGAGCTCTGTGTGTGTGTGTGTGTGTGTGTGTGTGTGTGTGATCGTGCCTGGAGCTCTTAGCTGATCCTTTGATTTCCATTAGTGCCCCGAAGGCGTCTCTGTCTTTCCTCGGGTTCGGCCCTGCCAGTCGGCTGCAGGTCTCCCTCGTCCCCCAGAGGACACAGGCTGGACTTGCCTCTCCTTTCCCCGCCCCCAGGCCGCGACGCTGCTTCTCCTCCTTCACTCGGCCGCCGGCCGAGCCTGGGTAGGTGGGTGTGTGCCGGGGAAGAGAAAGAAGCCCCTCCGTTTCCTGGCTGCCTGTGCCCTGCCTCTAACTCCTGCCCCTGTCTTTGAGCTCTGCGGCTCTGCTTCTGGTCCCCGACTGTCCGTGCGTCTGTCCGCGGGAGGAGATGCGGCAACACAGACGGCTGAGCGCTCAAGTTTTACGAAATAGCCAGGTGTGTGTGTGTGAGGGTACTCTCGATGTTCATAGATAGTAGGGGAGGGGAATAACCGTGTCTGTCAGTCCTTAGTTTCTCCCTTCCTCCTCTCTGTCTGTTCGTCTTTCTGTTTGCCAGTCTGCCTATCCTGTCTCTCCCTCCTTCTATCATCTCTGTCCGTCTGTCTGTGCTCACTGAGCGTTTACGTTCCCCAGCCCTGGGGAATCCAGCTGTAGTCAGATCTTCGTTTCCCTTGAAGTTTTGTGGCTTAGCCCGACGTCGCGACCGAAGGCTGTTTGTGTTGCTGATTGGTGTATCTACCTTTCAGCGTGCTTGTGTCCCTCTCTGTCCCTATCCTGTCTCCGAGAGGCTCTCTCTTATTCAGGGCGTCTTCCTGGGCGTGTTGACCCAGACAGTGCCTGTTGGCCGGCGGGCCTGCCTGTCAGTCTGCGCCCTGGGCGCAGAGCACAGCGGAAGGTGGGGCGCGTAGGACCAACTCCGTTAGAAAGTGTTTTCATACAGATCACCCCCTTTTGCCTTGGGAATCGCTTATCTCCATCACCCTACTGTGCTTTGCATCTGCTCTGCACCCACCCCTGCCAGCCAATGCCCATTGTGAGCTCCCGGGTGTAAAACTGAATTCAGCCTGCTTGGGGCGGGAGGGGGGTGGGAGGGGGATATGGCCGCTGGGTTGCAAGACTTAGCGGGGCGGGAGCTGGAGGAAGGCACTGGCCATAGCCAGAAACCCCGCGTTCCCCCTCCCTCTTTCCCCTCCCTTCTAGTTATCCAATTCGTCCGCCGCCTCTCAAGCGCTGCTGCCTGGACTGAGTTTGGCTGGGCTGGGCTGGGGAAGGGGAAAGAGGAGGGAAAGGGAGGAGGTAGGGACAGCTGCTCTCAG